AAAAACATTTCTTTGGAATGGCACAGTCTATCTACCTTCTATTTCATCCCAATTTTTACTTCAGGCCCTTAATAATTATATTCTTTAATGAATCTTTCAAAATAATATTGTAAAGCATTGCATACTAATGCCTTCAGACTAAAGGGTCTAACATTGTAGATGACTCTTTTAATCCATTTTTCCATCCATTTCACTAGAAGTGCTACCTTTACCAAAGCATCAGTCTCACAGTGTCTGTTTTCCAGTTTGAAAGCTTTATTATAAATTTTGGTTAATTGACCTTATTTTCACATTTAGTTCAGTCACATATCAGGGATAGAGATTATCCAGTCCCCTAAATTAATGACACAAAACTGAATGAATTTTGCTATCTATTGGGATAGCAATACCTTTTTACTTCCTATCTCACTTTATACTAGAGCCTTTTCCCCTCTACAGTGTCAAATATAATCACCATCACTGAACACTAAAGCAAATTATTCTTTCAATTTAAGACTCATATCTAGTTACCTTTTGTTCCCTCTGTGTCCTATCTGAATATTAATTATAAGCTTTTATTACTGACTTTCTTCAATGTATTTTTTAAATATATATATATATATATATATATATAAAAAAAGAAGCTAGACTTCTGTCATTTTTTTTTTCAAATTTGTACTACACCCATCTCTATTTTTGTATTAACATGTATATTTAAAAAAAATAATAATATTTTCAACAGCTAGGGATAAGACTAAGCAGTTTCTGTCAATACACAAGCCCAAACAGTGAAATAACTATTTAAACATCAAAGAGAAATTCTGAAAACATAAATAGTAAATATTTCCACTTTATTAAAAAAGAATACTGAGAAAGTAACTAGAACCTGACATCATTAAAACAACACAGGAAGGAAGCTGAGCTTTTTAAATCTACTGCATGTTCTCCTCTTTGATGAGGTTTGGTTTATTATTTGATTTGTGGGTAAAATAGATGAACAGAGTCCCAGTGCTTTTTTACTGTCAGCCTGCTCAGAAGACTTACAAGTTAATGTCAAAATTCCTTTCTGATGCCTTCTCTGGCTCCAGGCTTTTATAGAATAGATATTTTGCCCTATTAGTAAACCATCCCTTAAATGCCACAAGAGATCAGACAACTCTGAGTGAAACAGTCCCCTTGTGCAAGATCTGTGCATTTTTAATTCTTATCAGAGATAAAGTAGGATCCTAGTAGCTTGGGTGGTTCCTTGCTGCTTCATCAATTTTCAACTCATTGCGGCCAGCATTAGCTTGCAGGATTAACTGATAGTCAATGGTATGCAAGGCTTGACATAGAGGAGAAAAAAACCCTATTAAAGTTGATCATGCATTTATCCCCAGAGAACAACAATAAATTAATTTACCCCCTTATTAAGGAGGTTATTGAGGGCAAAGCTATCTGCATTTAGCTACTGTCTGCCTCTTTCGTGCATAGATATCTCCTATCAGTGCACCATGTTTTAATGCACTATTAGCCTAAAACAAATATTTGGGGACCTATTATATTGGTAGTTTAGTTTTCCTAACTGTGTTCTTGTGAGAAAAAGTAGCGAGAGAAATATGAAGATTAAATTATTAAGATATAATTCATTTTCCCGATTCTAAGGCATGATTCTTTTATGCTGCTTATCCCAGATAATGAAAGTCAGATTTAATTAGTTTTTGGAATTTGACACAAAAGGGCTTACTAGCTTTCACAAAAGATTGTAGAAAAGCATTTTCTGAAAGCAAAACCTCACTATCTATTATTTGAAAAGTAAGACAGGAGAAAGATGTGACCAAAGTGGTTAGGAAAATAGGAAGGCATTATTTTAAATCTCATCTGAATTCTATTTTTACACAACACATTTTTAATAGCAAATATTACAGATGTTTCTCTGTCTGAAGACCTCAAAATCTGGTTACAGAACATAGAGAAGCTGAAGCAAACTTTAGATATGTGAAGCTAATATGAGTCTGACGTTTTCTTTTTGGCTCCTAGTCCAGAACAGATTGAGCTAAAATCCTAAAACATTTGGGATACACTATGAGCCTTGTGACTATCAAAATCTTAGTCCAAATAGTATAGTTCAGTTTCATTCCCAGTAATCAAGGTAGTCAGAATTCCACTTTCTAAATTCAGTAGTAAATTGTGTTACATATCCAAGGTTATGAATAGTTTTCCAGTATGTCTTTTTTTTAAAAAATAAATATATAGGGGTATTATTTAAATATACTCAAATCTTGATGCATGAGCTTTATGACTTGACCAAAAATATGTATTCCAACATGAAAAATACAGGATCATTTATATTTTAATTAACAAGTCTTTTATCTTTCAGCCCTGTATACAAGTATTTACTTGCTGACAAACTGTAATCACCCATGTCCACTGAAAAAATGAACTTTAATGTCAACTCAGCAAACTCTCCACTCTCCCATGTTACTGTTAATTTCAAAAGTTCCCAAGGCACAGGGATGCAGCATCTGGAAAAATATATTATTTTGGGACTGCTAGTATGGTCTACTAGACACTTTGGTTAAGTTTATACTAAAATATTAAAAGTGCTAGGACCCAGGCCAGACCACTGGAATTCAGTCATCTATACAGTTCAATAGTCATAACTGAGAGTCAATCAAGAGTCAGTTACGACTCTCCCAAACAATTTGCAGGCACTATTTAGAGGGTAGTATGAATGAAAGACCATTCCTACGTGGCATTTAGGATGCAACTATTCTGTTTTAGAGGATAAAATGATTTTACAACATCAATGTAGTTGTATCAGTTGGGGCTGAGGCTAGAAAATGCGTTCTGGTATTTGTTTTGTTTCTGTGACAGAAGTAACTTCTGAACCCACTAGGAAATGTCATATTAGGGTTCTGACCTGTTTGTTTGGGTGCATCTGGAGATCATCTAAATGAAAAATCACTGCTTTCTGACAATATTTTTTAAATAGTAAAAAAAGCCCATTTATTTTTTTGGAAAATGAATGCACGGCTTGACCTTTAAAAAAACATAATGGTTTTTTTTTGGTTTGTTTTAACTCATTTGAAATTAGATTAAAAGGCATATGCTAACTGGAAATTTTAAAGGGATGTATATGATCTTAGTGTCTAACTGTATTTTGCTGTCAGAAAATATCACACAAAACCACATAGTTCTTTCAAGCTACAAGGTTAAAAAGGGTCTGCAGGTTAGTTTCTAGAAATACACAAAAAGCCAAGAAATCTCTGTCTTAATAGCAGTTGTCATAATTTTAAAAGCATTAAAATGACTTGAGGGTTTTGAAAAAGGAATATCACTCAATTCTAACTAATATATAGGAGCACATGTGTACAAAAACTTGAAGAACACAATGTAGACTGAATATATTAAGAATAAAATCACTTACACATAAGCTAATGCTGCTTGAAATAACAGCAAGGGTTTCCATTTTACCAAATTTTTTAATAAAAAGTTTGGGTCAAATTCATTATTGATGAGAAGGCAGAAAGCTGAATTAGTGAAAATTCCACTTTGGAAAAATGAGCTGAAGGAACAGTGGATTTGGAAAACATTAAGCAACAATGGACACCATGGTAATGAATAAAGCAAAAAGACAGGAGAAGTGAATGCCCAATATGTACGTTTCACAAGCAACATGAGGGGATTTTAACCCTAGTGAAATTAATCCTGAAGACACTGCTTTATCGGGTTTTATCTGTTTCACCCTGTGATTGCATTCTGTTAATATTTAATTATTAGAAAGTAGAAAAAGTAGTATTTCCACATTCTTTTGAGTGGGACAAGTTCACCTTCTTACTGAAATTTTTGGGCCCCTGAAAAAAGAAAAGATTAAGTTTTCTGTTGAACTCCCTTTGACTATAAACCATGCATCTTGGTGGTCATCACTAATAAACACCTTTACAGCTGCTCTCAAGAAAGAACTCTCAGGAGTCTTGGCAGGGGATAGGGAATTTTAAGATAAAAATCTGAGTAGGACCCTCTGAAAGACTCCAGAACAATACATTACCTTAAAATGTTTAGTGTAAATAATCAAACACAATCATTTACTTCTTACACCCCACATACAATGGTCAAACTTGTGCACATGGGCAGCTTCCTGCACATGATTTCTGCATTGTCATTACTGATCAATGACTCTAAATGCTTTTGCAAATACAGGGAAGGGTATTTAACAGTGCTTCATTGTAAACACTGCTGGGTAGGTAAAGGGATAGATATATAATGTTTAGGAATCATAGCAGAATTTAATCAAAGTCTATACTGTTTCTCACCAGTTCTACTGAGAGAAACACAAGGAAGGACCTTTTACTTTCTGTGACTGTTATATATTCTCATTAGTCATCCATATAATTTACAGATTAGTATTTATCAGTGCGCACACACGCACTTCAAGAAAAAGCTTTCACTATAAGCCTTTCTAAATATTCTCTTTCTCAGTCTATAGATGCTTTAGTAAGATTTAGACTTGATCTTTTGTTACTGATTTCTCCACTTTTGTGACTATGTACAGAAAACTAGATTTTTACATTTACAAATGTAATCTCACTTGGTAATGAGATTTTGAATGGTGTGTGTAGTATTTAAAAACCCCAACAACCCAGAAACACCACTTGAAATAAAAATTTTGGACTGTTTACTTTAACTTGACTTACACGTTCTATAACAGCTCATAAAAACATAAATATCTGGATCTGATGCTATTAAACAGTACTGTAGTCATTTGACCTTAAAAATGCTTGACTGTTCCAATCTTTGGGTAAAATATACTTCTCAAAGATTCTGCTACAGGAGGCAAGTCACTTATAAAAAGTAAGTGTGGTAGAATTTTGTGGAGTTTTTTTGACTAGTTAGAAAAAAATGGAGTCTACCATTGTTTTAGATATATATGAGTTGTTAAGTAGGTAGTATATATTACTATACAGATATTTGCTTTTAATCAAGACTTAATTATTTTTGAGAATACTTGATTTTAAAACAACTTTTTGAACAACACCTACTTGAGGTCTTGGGAAGGTTCTGCTCTGATATGGGGTGTCTCCACAGAGTGCCCAAACACTGCCCCTTCCGTGCCTAAAATACATAAATAAAATACAGTACAATTACTTTGGAAAATAAAAACACATTGAAATGTATGACCACAAACTGACATTTTTAGGACCAAAAATATCTGACTGAATCCTTTATTAATTATTATTAATGTTTCTTCATATTTATGTTTGCTTTTCTATATAAAAATCTGGACCGATACCGCATGAAACTTTAGAATTCTGCTTATCAGTAGATGAATTTCACATACAATGTGAAAATGTTTATAGATCCAGACTTTTCAGCACTGACTTGCCTGAATGCTCACCTCAAGACTTTGGAGATGGATTGTTTTACAGATAAGAAAAATAATATCATAGGGTTTTTTAACAAAAACACATTTTAGAAATGTCTACATGTTATTGCATTATGCTCATTTTACTTAAACTGAGATGCCAAGCCTTCAAAAGTTTTGAAATAAGTCTGTCACCTGAAGTTGCTAGCCTGAATCTCAATAACTGACAGCTTCAGACTTTCCTTCCATCAGACCTTTCTCACTGAAAAGTCCTGTTCTCAAAGAAGTTAGGGAAACTTATCTGGAATGTCCTTTGGTTTTAGTGTTGTTAGTGGATGCTCATGTATCTTGTACTGGGCACTCAAAATCAATGCAAAGAAAATGGGTAACTATTTCCTAAAATGGAATTGATTCTCCATTGAATTTTTATTTCTATAACTAAGTCCAAGTTGCATATGATATATGCATTGAAATACATGACCAAGATTTTTCATTGAAAATCTCCTTTTACATTTACAGTAACTGTGTAAGAATTGCTCAACAGAACAGAGGCATCATACTAATTGTTACAATATTTTAAATTCAGTAAGGTATTTTCAATTATTTAAATATTTTATTTAAATATTTCACAAGAATTTTCAGAAATTTTGGCTGTTAATGGAGATAAATATTTAGATTATTTTGCAGTTAACCAATAACATTTAGTAAACTGATCTTACCAGGATTTGAAAGGAGAACAAGGCTATAGAATATTTAATTGATAATACCGTTTTCCAGAGTTAAGAAGTCCTGAGCAAGAAGCTGAAAATATCTAATTAAATTAAATTACTGACAAAAATCATCCTTTTTAGTCATCTTCTAAACTCCACTTTTGTTGTGGTAAGGCATTAGCTGTTTTTTTCTATCTGCTAAGCCACAGAAATGCGATGTTCAGATCACAGCTAACCCTTGCAGGAGGTCAAACTTTGCGGGAACAAAAGCACAAACACCAATATGGTGGATGCTATCTGTTCGATTTATTAACTGCGCAACTGCTTTATATACCCCTTTCTGTACATCGCAAGATCTTTAGTTCCCTGTTCTTTCCATGCATCGTGAGATCTTTTTATGTGCCTCTATTTTTCCTGTACATCGCAAGATCTTCCAAGCACCTCTCCCTACACAATTTCATTTTAAAACAAAACAGACACACACGCCCCGCCTCCCCCCACTTCATTGTAAAATATTTTACTGGTATGGAGTATCCATGAGAGGAAGAGGGGATTTCTGAGTGTAATGAAGTAAAGTCCTAGTTTTTTATCTCTAGAAACCTATAGGCTTTATAAATATCTTGCAAAGCATACTGAAAAGAAATTTATTACAACCACTGCCTTGAAGATCTCTCAAGAAAACAACAAAATCCCCTTTCTAGAACCAAACTTTGCTGAGTATTATGGAGAAGCACAGGAAGGAAAAGACAGCATATCTTTTAACCTAAAAGTATTCACAGAAGTGCTGTGCAGAATCTGCATTTAAATCTGATATTGTCTTGCAATTCTGCTACCTTTAAGGGACAGGAATAGACTGTAAGAGTCTGTATAGCCAGGCTTTCTATCACTCAATATAAATCTCACTCCCATCTATAATGGCACTAAAGAAATTCTATGGGAGCTGAATATCAGAAATCAAACAGTATAGTTCCAGATCCTGTTCATCTTTTTCATCAGCAAAATTAAATACTTTCAAGGCCAAAGCCTTTTTGTATTTTTGAAGGTGGCAATGGGATATGAAGATGTAAATAACTGAGCAGGATGCAGTATTCCCAGTCGTATGAGAAGACCACAGCTGGAATGTTTGAAAGATGCAAAGATGTATAAAACATCACTGTAGTATGGGTCAGACACTAAATCAATCAGAAGTGCCAAAGATGATATCAGGAAAACACGGTAATGAAAGATAAATTACAGCTGGTTCTAAGCCAGCATTAGCATTTCCTCTCTTTCAGTAGCATTTGTTTAAAAGATGAGGTGGAGTTTCTTCCCTAACAAGATAGTAATTTGGAAAGAAAGATGTAGTTTGTCCTAGTAGACTGAAAATCCAAGCAGGTAGAATTAAGGATAAACTGTTATAATTTAATAAAATATAATTAAAACAAACCATTCTCCTTTTGCTATTTGAAGATATAATCCCACATTTTTTTTTCTTATAAAGCCTCAAAAGGGAAAGTTCTTGTGGTAAATGCTTTATCCTCAGTAAACATGCTATCAACAAAATCAACAATATCTCCAGTTCCTTTTATTTTATACTGGAAGAAAAGCAGGTACTAACAACTATCTTGTTTTTAGTAAGAAAGGTGAAAAAGATCAGCCATCTAGTATTTACTGATGTGTTTCCAGCAGTTAAAAAGTAGGATCAAGAAAAATGGAAAGGTATTGTACAGCAAATAAAAGACATGAATCAGCATTACTTAAAACTACAGGAACGTATGCTGTATTTTTTATTGTTCTGTATGTAAATCTGTAGCGCTTTGATGAGAAGTTAGATTATGTAGTTCAGTAGTGTTTGAGAAATGGCACTACAAACATACCTTTCTATGATTTTTTTTTTTTTTTTTTTTAAATGAAAGAAATATACTTTAGGTATTTACTAATTTACAGCACTAAACCACTTATTTTTTTACAGAAATAAGACAAGGATCTATTAACTGTATTCCCTGACTTACAGAATCATAACCAAAACCTACTTTGAGTGAAATTCTAGAGACATGAATGAATAGTAAAAAAAAAAAAAAAAGACTTGAGCCTTCAAGACCTTTCAAGTACAGCTCAAATGGAAGTAGTTAGGGAACTGAATTCAAAGGAACATGAGTTAGAATGGATAGCTATAAAAAGTGAATCTTTCAGAGGAAATAAAAGAGCATGAAGTATGTGCAAAAGATTTAAAATCAAAACTGTAAGTGTAACTGGACAAAATTACTCCCACCTCCAGCTTCCAGTGGAAGAGAATGAGTTAAGTAAAGACTTCGCTAAGAAAGAAGCACCTATGAAGGCAAACTACTGGTCAAAGAACACCAGTTGCTATCGAAGTTGCTGCAGAAAATAGCATAAGTGAGGCAAAAAGGCCAAAACTACAATTCTGTATTTTTAGTTTTACTTTATGCATAGCAGATTTATAAACACTAGACCATTAAAACACACTTCTTTAACACAGAGCAAATCAAAGTGACACTTTTGTTACAAGAAAAACTAGTCACACATTCCTGCTTAAACTGAATATCCCAAATTCAGAGAACAGTGTATACCACTCATTTCTGCCTAATTTACTTATTCCTGAAATTTAGCCTTTGTGAAATTACATTTCATAAAAACAGGGGAAGTACAATGTTGATATTTGTTGCCAGATTTTATTTGCTTATGTATGTGCTTGCTGAGGAAATTTATTAAATTGTCATTTATTTACCAGCAAGCAATCCTTTTCTAATTTATGACTTAGCTCACACATCAAGACTGGTACATTTCAGTGACTTAATAACCGACTAATATGAAAAGTTCAGCACCTGAGCGTAAGGATTAGTAGAGCTAATTTTTTTGTGAAAAGAGTGCCAGCTGAAGAGTTGATGAGACAATAATCAAAAAGTAATAAATTATATTGCTGTGAAAAACGAGTCAAATAATAACAGTACTCCCCTCCTTCACCTCATTCCTGTTAGTAAATCACCTCAAATGTACTGACAATGGAATTATGTAGCATTTTGATGTATACAAATTATATGGCATTGCAGCGTCACAGGTGCAGCTGAATCTTACTGCCTTGACCTTTCTCTAAGTTTTTCAGAAATGTCAAGTAACAATATGATGAAATACTAAGATTATGCAAGTATTAGAATGCAATGCCAATTTGTCCTCTGAATTAGAAAGTTTAAAGAAGAGTTTTAAAAATATTTATCATTTTTACTTGTTCCAATTTCATTATTACGTTAAAGCATCTACAGGTTTCATGGAATAATGCGAGTAATTAATCAAGATTGCTTTACCACTAAAGAGACCTTGAAATCATAGACTTTATGTTTTAAAAGTTTCATTGCAATTAAAAAAAAATATAAATCCTTAATTCTTTTACCATGTGTACACAGATAAAATTTAAAAGTGCCAGTGTGAAATGAGCTAGCTGTTGTTCAGCACTAAGACCTTGGAAGAGCTGATCACTGCCAGACTGAAAAAAATCAGAAATATTCAACTAGGCAGATCAATGATCATAAAAAGCCCACAGAAAAGGATTGTTGCTTCTTTTTAAAAGCCCGGTTATAATTTATCTTGGGCTGATTAGGAACCCAAAGGTCAGAATGCAGATTCTGGACCACATGTTAATTGAGCAGCTCTTCAAGACTCAATTTTAATAAATGGCTTGAAATGTAATTTAGCTAAGTAGTTGTATTAAAAAAGCATGATGTAACTGGATTTTTGCTGTGGAGGTGTACATAATTAAAATGAAAGTAAGTAGGTTATTTTATGGAAACATGATTGGCATGATTGCTAGGATTTCAATCTGGCTGAGTCCCACAGCAGCAAAACTGTCTATTGTTAAATAGTGACATTTTCAGGTATGATACTGATGTGGCCATACTGGAGTTTTATTATCAGTAAGAAACAGTATTACGGCCTACCTAGATGTACATGTTCTCTTGTAAAATAAAGCATGAGCATTGAAGTAATCAGATTTATTAAAAAGCAAATTCTAAAATGAATGTCTTGGATTCATTACTCAAGGCCCT